AAAGGCTGTATCATCATGCCTTCATGCCAGGAGGCCAAGCAAGGGTTGCCCAGGCAACCTGACTTCTTGCATTTCCCAGAGCATGACTTGTCAATGTTCACATTCCTCTAACATTACCAACATTAATAAAACCCCCAAGAAACACAAAGAATGCCTCAAATGTCACTACATGGAGCCGTGTCTGGGCCATCAGGAGGTTTCAGATACCTACACATGCATTGCTGCTATCGACTGCCGGAGCTACGGAGGAAACCTCAGCAGGCAGACTGGGTGAGTTGGGCGGTATGGAGGGGCAAACACACATTTTGGGAGTGGACTTCACAAGAGAACACTGCTGAGATTGAATCCTTAGGCTTGTTCTGGAGGGAGGGGGAAGCAAATGGTCACAGCCGCCTGGGTCTCCATGCTCTAGCTTTTCTCTTCCCGTACAGCCGTTAATTCCCTGCAGCTCCTTGTCCCCTTTGCCCCTCTAAGTCCCCTCCAACTATCTTCATTCTTTGCTCCCACATCTCTTTTCACGCTCGCCTCCTCTCTTCTCTGCTCACTGATCCCCTCTTACTGCTCTTTGCCTCCGCCTGGTTCCCAAGGTCTCCTCTCCTGACCCCTCACACCTGCATCCAGACTCATCCGTCCTTCTCCCCTGGGTTCCCAACAGCTGGGGGGAGCACTGGCTGGGCCAGGGCTTGCTGCCAGCCCTCTACACGTGGTTCCTGCCTCAGAAAGCAGTCTCCTCCAGGAGGAAAGGTAGCACTGCTGACCAAGAGCCAGTGTGCCAGACGGGTACAAGGCAGCTGCAATAGGCTGGAGCGTGGCCAGCCTGGGTCTGCGAAGGACTCAACTGTTGAGAAAGTCATTCAAACTTTATTTGAGGCTGACACCGCACCCCTGCCTCCTCCTTTTTTTTTTTTTTCCCCCCCCCCAATTTTCTAGTACATTTGGCTTTTCCCAGTGGCACCAAAAGGCACATCCTCAGTAGAGCGCTCCCTTTTTGCCCATTCCCTCCAAATCCTGCTGCTGCCAGAGGTCACTACCACCCTCGCCAGGGATACAGGCAGGGCGCACATGGACTCTCCTCCTCCATTCTTGTGGACCTAGCCAGGAGAAGAGGACTTACACTGTATCAGTTTTAGGCTTGTTACTATTTATCATCACGTACTGCATGTCCTGAAAGAGTTGCACAGACTCCATCAGCCCCCGCTCCTGGACAACAAGGGACAACCAGGAGAAACCCAGCCCTTCCTGAAAGCTGATTTCACATAGGAGAGGGCAACAGAAATCACTGGCTGGTTTTGTGTGAGGCAGGAATCCCTGTGGCTGACACAAAGTCCTTTGGAAGAGTTAAAGGCTGCCTTCAAGTAGCACCTTGACCAGCTTTAACTAAACTTGCCACATCTACCTGACTGCCCCTTGGGACTCGCATGGGATATTTAAGTTTTGCACCATTAAACAACCAAGAAATGGGATCTAGTAAAGGAACACACCTAGCATGTTTGTATGTAGTAGCATCACATGGAGATACCTATATTATGGGGCCAGGGAACTTGTTTGCTTTCTTTCTCCAGCTAATACACCTGGCTCTTCACTCACCACAAGCTTTAAAACAGTAGTGTAGTTGTAGGTGTGACTGTCTAAGGATAACAGGGACGCTTTGTAGGGAGAGCTAATCTTTTTTATTAGGGCAAGAGACTGCCTTTCTGACATAAGGCTTTTTCACCCTTCCCTCTGCTATTTACCCAATGAAAAAAAAAAAAGAAAGCATGGCAGTACATGGACCCAAGCCTCAAGCTTAGGGAAAAAAAAAAAGCAGCAAAACAGGAAACTAGCTTATGTATAAAAGAGAAGTCATGGCAGCATGTTGCTCAGTAGCAAGAAAGGTGAATGGTATTATCTTTTTTTTATAATTAAAGGAAAGCCCCTGGAAACCACAGCTTTCCTAACTGCAATACACACACACACAGAGAGCACTTGTCACCACCTCCTTCCTCTCCACAACATGTCCTGCACGCCAAAGAGGGCAAACCCTCTTGGTTCCGTAGGCACCACGTTAAATCCCTGAGGCAGGTTACCAAGAAGGTAAGGGCAATGTTAATTTACTCTCAACTCCTATCAACATCCCTTGTCCCACTTTAATTTGTTTGCCATGCATGCTCTCTTGCTGGCTGAGCATTGCCCATGCTGATTTTCTCCAGACACGGGTTGTTACCACAGCTGCTGGACTACTGTCCAGACATTCAGTTGCTCTCTTTATAGACATCCCCCAAAAGAGAGCACTGGAAAACTGCTTCCACCCTATGGCTTGATTCAAAACCAGCAGATAAATCTTGTGTCCTTGACTTCCACCCAAACTGTGGGCCACCCTTCCGTCGATCAAACAGGCCTTACAGAAGGTTGGTGGCACCTGCACTATGGGCAGTGTAGCCAAATGGACCAGTAAAAGCTTTCAGCAGGCAATGGGAACAGTGCGATTCTTCAGAAAGGAAAATAAGCCTCTTCACTGCTTGGACAGCAATTCAAAATGGCATCTGCTTCCATCACAGAAATACTTCACCCACTTGAATGCTACTTCTTTTTATTGTGAAACTTGCATCAGCTGCCAAAATGGGTACATATAAAACTCCTGTAACTCCTGTAATGATCTGTCATATAGGATCCACTAATTTGACTGGTATGTATGAGTAAAATTACAGGGGGGTTTCCAGCTGGAAAGGACTGCAAGTGAGCAGTTTATCATTTAAATGTATTGGGTGTAATTCAATCACAGGAGGCTGCTACAACAATGCAGTGAGGAATAATAAACAGCAACACAACGGCCCCTAACTAGAGCAAAAGGTTTCCAGCCCTTTCAGACGGAAAACAAAGACTAAAACAAGTCACAAACAAAACCCTCTCTGCACAGATAGGAAAGCTCAACAATGGAGTCAAGGGGAAATAGGGGATATCTGCATCAGGCTCAATGGCATCCTTTCTCCCAGATGAGTACTAGCTTTTTAGACATTCCCTGCTACAGCAACATCCCTCCAGAGCTGGGCCAGGAAAGCCTTAACATGGGAGCTACAGAGAGAGTTTAAAGAGAAAAAGCGAGGGAAGAAATAATTAACAAAACCCAACAATATCCCCAACAAATCCAGCATCAGCAAGGAGTCAGAAAGGAGCATGTTCTGTATGACAGTTTGCAAAGGGAAAGGTACTGACAATTGCTATATCTGAATTTTTGCGGGCAGAGAATCCGTAGCATCAGGATGTGTAATAACGCACTGTTTTCCACAAGAAAGGCAGTCCCTCCTTAACAGGAGTGTATTCCTACCACGAAACTGCTGGAAAAAGTAATCAGTCACAAATAATAGTCATAAAACCATTTTGATACTCAGCATTCCTCCGTGGACAATATAATTATACGTGGCTTAAATAAAGCCCTCTTGCACACAGTTGCATCTTTATCATACTCCTTAAAGGAAGCTCAGGTAGTTTATTTTTTCTTTCCCTTAAAATACGTTTTATTTCATCAGCACATTCAAGAAGCTGACTAGCTGAGAAAAGCCAAATTTAGAGTTGGTTGGGAAACTCCCATGTCCAATTGGGAGACATTGCTTTGCCACAGAGATAGGTTTTCTCCAAGATCCACCATTTACTCTGGGGAAGATCTGCAAAAAAGGAGGTGAGGGCGGTGGAGATGGCCAGGTTAACGGCTGCTCACGCAATCCTGAGCTTTTCAGAACTTTACCAGAAAAAGAGCATTTACATTGCAAGGATGTGCCATGTGTGCAATGCGGATCCAGGAACTGCAATCCCCAGCACCCAATTCCCGTGCAAACAAGCTAATTCACACCAGTCTGCACCAGAAATCACAGCAGTGACGCGGGCATGCGCACCACAGACCCTAACCAGGCTCTTTCACCCCTCGCTGATGAAGACTGCTTCAGTCGTTCGCACTGATGTTAGCGGTGACGCTATTCTGTTCCAGTGCTGACTGATGCCTGTAGCACTGACTGAAGCTACAGTTACCCAGAGACCTTCACCAGTGAGTACTGGCCAAGCGCAGGAAGCATCCCCTTTACCCCTGGGCAGAGCTGCTTGCAGACCCCAGGGTCAGAGCAGGTAGGGTTTCAAAAGTGGGGGAAAAAAACCCAAAAGAAACATTTCCACTGTTTTCTGACTAATGGGTGGACTGATGAAGATTAGAAGTGACAGTGTAAAATGGGTGTTTAGGGGCACCATGAGAAAGAAGAGGGGAGCCTGAACCAAATCTGACAGGTGGGCCCACGAGATGAAGATCCAGAAACTCTGTGCCTTTGTTGTAATTAGTGCCACACACACACACGCTCAGCCTGTTCTGCAAAGCACACTGTGAAACAGGAGCACGGCTATTGCAGTGACAATCCTGGTGGCCAGAGCTGTCAACCCTTCCTGAAAGCATCAGTAAACCAAGGAACTCATAATTTAGACTTTCAACCAAAAACTGCAGCCCCTCCGCCCCCACAGCAGCATCTTTCAGGTGATGCAGGGAAGGAAAGCAAAATGGCTCTTGGATCAAGGTTTTAAAGAAAAACTTAAATGTGGCTTAGGTCTGCCACAGGGCCGGTGATTTAGCATTCGGGGTTCCAGCGCTGCCGCTTCTCCAAACCAACAAAATAAGTGTGGTGCGAGGGGCAGCATCCCAGCCAGCAGCTTCCTTAAAGCAGAGCGTCCAGCGGCACAGAGGGCTGAAGGTGCACTCTGTAGCCATGGTAAAATTCTTCCTGAGATGTCTCTAAAGACATAAGGCACTGCAAGGTGAGACTGTAATTAATAGGACTTTTCAACAGGCCGAATAATATTAAACACAGTGCTGGAGTTTGGAATGGCTTTTCAAGAAACAGCAAAATGAATGAACGAACGAACAACCAACCAAAAGGGATGGTTTTAAAGGCAGCAAACAGGTTATTTAATTCTGGGCAGCAATGAGGCGTGCAGCCTTCAGAGAAGAGCAGAGGCAATTGCGGTTGTCTGTCTGTCCTACTCACCGGGCACCACTCCTTTGATGTCACTTTCCGTGTTCATCCTGTTCTTGTGCGTGAACTGAAGGATGAGTTCCTTGGATGCCTCAAACTGCTGTGTAGCCATCAGCCACCGAAGAGACTCTGGGAAAATACTTTAAAAGATGGAAAACAGGTTAGGTTCCCTTCCAAGTTTCTGTCAGAGGAAGAACCCATAGTGTTTAGCTGCTCATTTAACTGTTGGTGAGCTATATCATTATTTTCAAAAAGCAGAAGAATCACGAAACAAGTAAGAGGGAAAACAGATTCAGAATGTGCAAATTAATGATATTTTCTTTGACATTAATTCACAGATTACATAGGAACTACCCTATCACACAGAAATAGGACATGTTAGAATTTTATAACATATCAGAGGCCTGTTAATACAATTTTGAAAGAAGTGGGAGAAGGAGGCAGCATGGTCTGCAACAGACATTTGCTGCCAAGCAGGGAATGAATGAGATGTGCAGTTATCGCATGGTAATTCAGACCAAAGAAGGAAAAGAGCTGACAGAAGAGATTTGGATTCTCTGGTAAAGGCAGAGGGAGGAAAGAGAAGAATTACTTTTTAGGATTATAAAGGAACACATTTTTTAAATTTTCAGACATGACAAAAATCTTCTCCCACATATGAAGATTTTAAGCCATTCTTCTATACAGGTCAGTATTGTGTATGCTCCAGACAACATTTGGTTGTTGCTCTAAAAGTATCCCCTAGTAACGACAATATTATCTTGGTTGAGGTGCCTTAAAATATATTCACACAGAGTTATGCAATAAAGAAGGGTTTTTTTTTTTTCCACATGGTTGTTTCCTTCAAGTGCTGATAATTCGCTTAACTGATCATTCTTCCTTCTTTTCATTTTTCCAGATGAGTTCATTTTAATACAAAACCAAAAAGAAATACGTAGATCTTAAACAAACAAAACCTCCCATACTTCTATAGATATGAAACCTTTCAGATCTGACTCCAAGCATATTTTTCTTTCTTGATGAGGCCTCATTTTCACTAATCTTCCAAAAGACCTTTCTAAGAACAAATTTAACAACTACTTTTAACTTCAGATACATAATAAACCTCACATTTCCTTTACAAAGCACTGATCTTTGCTGTGGATGCTGCCTCAGTTCTTATACTTCTAAGCAGCGGACCAGGCAATTGCACCATTACGGTACTATCTTTTAAGGCTGATGCAGTTTGGAAGACAGCTTAGTGAAACCTCCATCCTGCACAGAAAAAGAATGGGTTTTTTGAAGAAGAAAAAAGGAGAGAAGTCAGGCAGACTGCAGTCCAAATATCAGGCAATAAAAATATGTAACAGCCATGATGACAGCCATTCAGCTCGACAGCTTATTTATGACCGCTGGTGCTG